AGCTTTGTAACACAGGTGACTGAGAAACCAATGAGGGGAAGGTGCTCTGCTGGACCTCATACTTAAGAAGAACTGGTTGGAGGTACAACAGCTGGGGATGACCTTGGCTGCTTGTGACCACAAGATCCCGTGGATCAGGTGGTCAGGATCATGTGAAGAGGGGAAAGGCAAAAAAGCAGGATAACAGTCCTGGACTTCAGGAGAGCACACTTCAGCCTGTTCAGGCACTTGCTTGAAGAATCCAAAGCAAGATGGTCTTGGAGAGAACAGGGCTTCAGGAGAGCTGACTGACTTTCAAGGCTCGTCTCTTCCAAGCTCAGGATCAGTCCAGACTGACATGCAGGAAGTGAGACAAAGGTGGCAGGAGGCCTGTGTGGATGAATCAGGAGTTCCTGACTAAATTTGACATAAAGAAGTAGGACCCAGGAGGAATTCAGAGACAGTGTCTGACCATGCAGGCTTGGGGTTAGGAAAGCCAAACTCCATCTAGAGTTGAATCTAGTGAGGGATATAAAGGACAATAAGAAGGATTCCTACAAGCATTTCAGCAGCCGAAGGAAAGCTAGGGAAAATAAGGGCCTGCTGCTGAGTAGTGCAGGGGACCTGGTGACAGAGGACACAGAAAAGGCCAAGGTGCTCAGGGATGTCTTGACCTGTCTTTACTGGTAAGACTCGCCTTCAGGAATCCTGGGCCCCAGACTAGGTAAGTAGACAATGAGGTAGACTGAAACCTGACTGAACTTCTGGGCTCAAAGGGTTGTGATTAGCAGCATTGAAGTCCAGCTGGAGGCCAGTCACTAGCGGTATCCCCCAGGGTTCAATGCTGAGCACCATTAACACTTTCATTAATGGGTTGCATGAAGTGATAGAGTGCCCCCTCAGGAAGTCTGCAAAACTGGGAGGAGTGGCTGATAACACCAGATGGTTGTGCTGCCGTTTAGAGGGGCCTCAACTGGCTGGAGAAATGGCCAACAGGAACCTCATGAAGTTCAACAAAGGGAAGTGTAGAGCCCCCCTGGGGGGGAGGGGTGGAACACTATGCACTAGTATGGGCTGGGGGCTGGCCAGCTGGAAAGCAGCTTTGCAGAAAGGAACCTGGGGGTCCTGGTGGACAACGAAGTAAACATGAGCCAGTGATGTGCACTTGCAGCAAAGAAGGCCAACAGCATCCTGGGCTGCATTAGGCAGAGCTTTGCCAGCAGGTCAAGGGAAGTGATCTGTTCCCTCTGCTCAGCAGTGATGAGGCCACACCTAGAGCGCTGGGTCCGGTGCTGCACTTCCCAGTACAAGGTCATGGGCATATCGGAGTGGGTCTGTTGAGGGGCCACAAAGATTAAGGGACCAGAGCATCTGTCATACAAGAGGAGGCTGAGAGAGCTGGAGTTCCTCAGCCTTGAAGAGGAGGCTCAGGGGAACCTTATCAAAGCATATAGATACCTGATGGGAGAGAGTAAAAACAGAGCCAGACTCTTGTCAGTGGTGCCCAGTGACAGGATGAGAGGCAATGGACAAACTGAAATACAGCAAACTCCACTTCAAATACTAACTGTAAGGATCACTGAACGCTGCTGCTGGTATACCCTTCTCCAAGGGTTCAATAAGTTATTAATGAATTTTAAAACAGCTTGAGAAAGAAGAAAGCTGAGTTGTGCTCTTACAGTGACTTAAACTGTCACAAGCAGCAGCCCTGTGTAAAGGTACAGACCTGCTTTTTGCTTATCTTTCAACAGTTAACAAATGCTGGTTGCAGTGTTCCTGCAGCTTTGCAGGGAGGCTGGATCAGGGAATTGTTGTGCTTAGCCCTAACCCATCAAAGGACAGAACTAAACATGAAAGTGTACAGTATAGCTTAACTTTCTTTTCCACCTAGTGTCACTGAAGAGGAAAATAAGCTTTCTATGGCTTGATTTGGGCAATAGTGGCAGTCTTCAGCAGATTAAGCAATGCGTTTAGCCTAACTTTGATAAAAGCTATCAAAGCTATGTCTATCACTAGCTCTGTCCAGTAGGTAGCTTCTGACTTTGGAAGCTAGACCACTGTACTCTCCTGTTTTATGACAGTTTACTCAGCATGACCAACAGAATAGTGATATGATAGTGATGAGTGGAGAAACTGAATAAATCTGGTAGTGTCATATCTTTACTCCTGTTAATCTTGTCCCACTGTCTTGCCTAGTTTTGGGGGGCAGGTAATGGAGTGCTAGTGCATCTAGGCTTTTGAGAGCAGTATTACGGGCTTTTGCTCTTTTGCCATCATAGCATGGCTGTAAGCAAAAAACATGCATGCAGAGAAGTGCACTAATATCAAATAGACTTGGTAGGATTGACTTCAGAGCAGGACACTTTCTGCAGCAATACGTTTCTCTTAAGTGGCTCCCATAAGCAATTTGTACCTATAAGAACAAAGATGAATGCTTCACCATTGAGTTGATGGTTTTTTCTTTGAGTAGTCAGAGTCTAGACAGCCTTGATATTCAAGGTAGTCTTAACAATTCAGATACTGTCTGTACTAAGGAACTAAAATGCTAAATCTATTGTGCATGTTAATAGTCCATTTAGACTGCATACTAGTAGAGTTACCTGCCTCACAATGAAATAGCGCTGGTTGACAAGCTTTTGGAATGCTTGATGTTTTTTTGCTAAGAAATGCATTCAGAAAAAATAGCTGGCTAATGTTAAAGTTCTCTGTATCAATGTAACTTAGAAGTGAATAAACACCTGTAGATAAGGTATGCTTCCTTAGTTTGATATTATCTCTGAGAAGTTTTCTTTTATGGGTGTACTGACATATTGTTAATACTTAACCTGGCACGCCATGTAGTTTAGCAGATGTTTATAACTGAAGCTATATTCAGTACTCCTCAGCAGTCTGTCTTCTCCTCAGCTATAGCTCATATATATCTATATATTTTAATGAAACATTAAGTCTGTGATACAGCTGAACAAGGCATTTAAACCCTTGTCTATGCAGTATTGGTGGACACAAGTGTGTAGAGTCAAATCAGGGAACGGATCTAGCCAAAATCTGACCCAGCCATGGGGGGGGGGCCCAAATTCTTAGGATCTGGGGGAACTCTGGCTGTCAGAACAGGTCTAAAACTTGAATCAGTGTTGGTGCTTAGTTAACCTAAGAGGTTTTTGAACTTTTAGATAATGCTCTAATTTGTATTTAAAACTAATTTCAGCTCTGACTACCTGTATTAAAATGGGAACTCAAATGTATAAATATCTGGTTCTAAAATTTCTTTGACCTCTGTACGTGCTGTCCTGATAGAGAACAAGCTTGCTCAGAGAAGCTTAGGAAGAAATTGTGCTATTAAGGAGACAAAGCAACCCCTCCCTCCTGTGGAAAGCTATCAGTGTTTAAAACTGAGGACAGAAAACAAAAACTAAAAGTAGTTGATAAAGAACACAGTCAAAAGACTGATAAGATAGGAGCCAGAGGACGAGGCACATTGGGACAGAAACACCTTTCACAAGTCTTCCTAACAAAAAGGTAGTGGTGACATGAAGCAGTGGAAATCTCCCTGAGAACTGAGACAAGAAAAACTGAGGCCCTCTGAGTGGGGGAGGAAGTTAGTGCTGCTACTACAGAATCCTAAACTGCAAAACTAGCTAACCTGGTGGTCCTTTAATTAGAAAAGGAAACTTTCAGTTTAGTGTCTCTGGGGTATATCACTGCAAGTGAATCTACTGATGTTTATTCCTTGGTTCTGCATGTGCTGGTTGCACAGCAATAGAAAGAAATTTAAGGGGGAAAAGTCAAATACTGGAAATTCCTCAGTGCTTGGGGCAGGATGCCATCGTTAACATGAGTACTCATTTTGCAGAATCATTCTTAAGTTATCTCTCTAAACATTGAGAGGAATAATCTAAAACTCATTATGTAGGTTGCACTGCTTTGAGGTTTACGGCTGTTTTTATAGGCCTCATTGTGAACTATGTATGCAGGTGTTTCTCTGAACTTGTCCTGCAGTTAATCACAGATCTGCAAGGTAGCTGAGCTGCTTTAAAGCTCAGAGCAGTGTTGATCTCAGTGTGGGTAGGGGTTGATTGCTTAATACTTGATTTCATATTGATCATCAGTGAAGATGTCCTGAATAAATATCTGTCCATAGCCTGTACAGTTTATTAAAAGAAATGTTGCAATCAATTTATAGGCACATGGGTTAACTTGTATTTATGCCTTCAGGTAGAGTGTATGTGGAGTGAATAGTAATAGTTATTCTAATACTGAAGTTACTTTTTTGGTTCTGTCTTTCTTCTGAAATAGGTGATTGGCTAATTTCTGCTTTGGCTGAGAATCGAGCAAGTAGAACAAATGTTATTCGGAGGTGGACTTCTGGGGTGCAAGATAAATGTCTGAATTCTTTGAACAGAAGGGGAGAGCTTTTTGAGTAAGATTTTTTTTTTTGGAGGAGTTAAATAGAAGCATGTCAAATCTCACTGTTCTCTTTTGTGAACTGTCAGTAGTTGGAGGGGAAGGATTGAAGAGTCCTACAGGAGAAGGATCTGAAAATTGACAGCAATAGATATTCAACAAGCGATATTATGTCTTCCACTAACAATGAATCAAGTTGAAACTTCTTGATATGTTAACAGACAAAGTCAACATGGGTGGCAAACTAGGGTTTAATTCAGTTACTAAGCTGATTCATACAGGTTACCAGCAGGCTGAAAATGATTTACTAATTAAACTGCCAAAAGCAAATAAAGCATGTATTTACGTGTAGCTATTAGCGATGTTTTTACATGGTACCATGAAATGTTTGAAACAGAAGCTGCTGACAATTGAAACATTTGCTTATATGATGAGAAAAGAAACTTATTTTTACTATAATGCTTTATTTCTCCTTTCAAGTGAAATCTCAGTTGAAGAGATCATACAGATCAGCTTACTGATCTCAAATTGGTAGCTGTGAAGATGGAGAAATTGTTGTCCCTAATAATAGGCTTTTATCTGATTTTATGAATGCCTATAACAAAATATTTTTATTGTAGGTAAGCAAGTGAGAACCAAACTGTCGCAGGCTTTTAATCACTGGCTGAATGTTCCAGAAGATAAAATACAGGTATTCACCAATCCTTTTTAAAGGACTGATCTTTCTTGAAAAACTAGAGATAAGTTTATGTAGTGAAAATGATCAGAAATTTTAAAAGCACTAATTATGGAATACATTAAGCTTTCAGGAAAACAAGTTTAGTGTGAAGCTTTGACTTGGGTGTAACACTAAGATTGCTGTGATTTCTTATGCAGAATAGCTATGTCATTTTAAGAGTTCAGCGTATCGAGTTGTAGATGAGCAACTACCATTGTAACCTACTTCTATTATTAATGCTGAATTATGACTTAGGATATAAACAGTTATTTTGTAAACTTCCCAAATGTAGTAGTTGAAGATAATCTCTTAAGAGTTTGATGCAACAATATCAAAGCTGATAAATCCTTTATAAACCATTCCTTGTTCTGGGTCTAAAACTGGACTTCTGGTCATAAGTTTAGACTCCTTATTTCCTAGTGAGAAGCACCAGGGCAGGATGTCCTTTTTCCCTTGTTTTAGTTATCTAACAAGACCTCTTGTTTTAGTTATCTTTACAAGGCAAATTGTTGTAATGTTTCCTTTCCCATGTATGCCTTTTGTGATGGAGCTCAGTATTTCATTCTTCAGGTCATCAAAGGACAAAAATAAGACCCTGTGTTTTCTAACCTGTATCTTGCCACACTTGTTATTGCTTTTGTGCATAACTGTACTAATCTCAATAACTTTAGGTTGTAGAAGTTTAGAGGACTACTTCTTGTCATCACAGTTATGCACAAAAGCAATAACTAATCTCAATAACTTTAGGTTGTGGAAGTTTAGAGGACTACTTCTTGTCATCTTTTGGTCATATCACAACCTTTTTAGAGCTTACCTATGTTCTTGCTGTTTGATTCCACGGTTATGAAACTTCTTATTTTAAAAAACCTGCTATTCCCCCTAAAAATTCTGCTATTCCTTAATTGTACCAGAATAAGATGCATACTTAAATCTTCCATAAGAAGTTTTTTTTACTTTCAATCATTCTAGACAAGCTACGTGAAGACAGATGAAGTATAATTGAGGCTACTGTTCCTTGGCAGCCAAGTCGACTTTACTGTTGGCTGCCACCATTTCACTCTGCTCTGAGCCAAGTGGTCTTTTTTTTTCCACTTGCGCTGTCTCTAGTGCTCCTCTTATGCTGCACTGAGACACTTCACCTTGCTGAGTTAGAGAATATCAGGTTTGTCAGGCTAACTGTCTTCTACCAAGTTAATGCACTGAAGTGACAGCACAGGGTCATGTGAGTCTCAAAGCTATTGCAGTTAAGGTAGAAAGCTGTCTTCAGGTAAGACTGCAGCAGCCCCTGATTAGATAGGGTTGCATTATAAGAAAGCATAATGCTGCACTGATTCTTCAGCTTTCATTATAAAGACCAGTCTTTTCACTGCCTCAGACGACTTCTTGATCTCTTCTGGCAACTAAGCTTTTTCTGCTCTCTGAATCTCTTCTCTTCTTGCTTACAACTTTGAAGTATTTTTGACACCGTCTTTTCTTACGGAAGTTCACGAGATAATTTAAACATAGTCATGAAGTACTTCTAACTTTAATGAAGCCTTAAGTGTCTGGGAGCTGCAGAAGTTCATGAAACTGCAAGAGTAAAATGAAATAGGTTAACGAGAAAAATACAGTAGTAGGCTTGTACAAGGAATTCATAGAATGAATAAAAGAAAAATACAGGGGAACTTTCCTCATAGTACTGAGAATAATGTAATAAGCTATAATGAATATTCAGACAGGTAATATTACAAAGATGCTTTTAATAAGCACTATATCCTTTACGCAGAAGTCAATGGGCAACAATATTTCTTTACACGTCAAAGTAGGCCTCACTTCTAACTGATGGATAGACATTAATGCATCTTATAACTTGCTCTTTATGCAGTCGTGCATCTCCAGCAAACAATGCAGCTGCTGGGTTTTCACTTTTTAACCTTTGGGACTTTAGTCAATGTACACTAAATGTGGCTTGCTGCTCAAGAAAGAGTGCTTGTGGCAGCTGAGTCTGTCTACTTTCTAAAGCACTGAGCCGATAAGGCCATGTTAGGTACTTGCTGCTATTTAAACATTGGTCTTGGTGTTTCAGAAGCCATTGTTTTAATGAATGACTCACTTGAGTGCAAAGCTTGTAGCTAGTAAGTATAATTCTATGTTGGCTTCAAAACTATATCTTAAATGTATTTTGCAGAGAGCTGATGCAGTACACAACTCTACATCTGTAACCTTATTTCCATTTAAAGAGGTGCTGAATATACCTGTTCCTTGGATAGGAACTGTGCAATTAAACCATAGATAATGAAGTATTTATTGAAGTGTCCTGTTTCAGAACAGTTACAGCTCACTGCTTCTGGTCAAATGTCATCAGCTCCATGCTTGATGTTGCGATTAGCTTTTTGAGTACCTCAGTTGGTCTTTGATATTGGCCTATCAGGGACAAGTGTAAGGGTTTAAGAACCTTTCCAAAAGAAGTTATAGCTGTTGCCTTTCTGCCAAGAATTTTCTGGGTATTTCAGAGAATAGTTGATGTCTTAAGAGCTCAGTGCTAAAAATAACAGTTTGGGGAAAGAAGGATGAACGCTCTCCACGTAGCAAAACAAGGCCTACATGACAGATGTTTGTGGCTGATAACCTAACACACAAGAACTGACTTCAGGAGATCCCAGGTTAGCAAATCCAAACTCATAGAAAAAGTTGAGCAAAGAGGCAACACAATGTTGCAAATATCAACAGTTGCTGCATAGCTCCTAGACAGTCCCTCCTTTTAGAAGGATTGTAGCAGCAAGCAAAAGGAACAGCCAAGTATAAACAGGGGGAAGTTCACTTTGAATGGGAAAAGTCACAGAAGACAGTGTTATCCAGGACTTGCAGCAAGTTGGCTGGTAAAGAGAATCGTAAATCTGTACTGACAGCAAGAACAACAATGGATCTGAACGGGGAGCTCCAGTGACAGGATACTGCACTTCCAAATCTTACCAATTTTAAATAAGAGCTGGCAAAATTGGAAATTAAGTTTCACACTAACTCAGTCATTTTTCTCCTCTTGTAATAGGTTATCATTGAAGTGACAGAGATGTTGCACAATGCAAGCCTACTTGTGGATGATATTGAAGATAACTCAAAGCTGCGACGAGGCTTTCCAGTGGCACACAGTATCTATGGAATTCCATCAGTAATCAACTGTGCTAATTATGTGTATTTCCTTGGCTTAGAGAAGGTTTTAACCCTTGATCACCCAGATGCTGTTAAAGTTTTTACCCGTCAGCTACTGGAGCTCCATAAAGGTCAAGGCTTGGATATTTACTGGAGGGATACTTACACATGTCCTACGGAAGCTGAATATAAAGCTATGGTACTGCAAAAGACAGGTGGTCTATTTGGATTAGCTGTAGGCCTCATGCAGCTCTTTTCAAACTATAAAAAAGACTTAAAACCACTTCTTAACACACTTGGTCTCTTCTTCCAAATAAGGGATGACTATGCCAACTTGCACTCCAAAGAATATAGCGAGAACAAGAGTTTTTGTGAAGACTTAACTGAGGGCAAGTTCTCATTTCCAACTATTCATGCAATTTGGTCAAGACCTGAAAGTACTCAGGTGCAAAACATCTTACGTCAAAGGACAGAGAACATAGATATAAAAAAATACTGTGTTCATTATCTTGAAAACGTGGGTTCCTTTGAGTACACTCGGAATACACTGAAAGAGCTTGAATCTGAAGCCTATAAACAAATTGAATTACTTGGAGGAAACCCTGAGCTTGTAGCACTAGTTGAACACTTGAGCAAAATGTTTAAGGAAAATGAAAATTAGCATTTATTTAACTCCTGGGGACAAATAAAAACTGTTTTTAAATGAGGAAATTAACAAGACTGTTAGATGATGTGAAAGGTGAAATAAGTCTCAATTATTTCTCACTCTGCATTGCAGGAATTACTTTGCAAACACTTTGTGTGGTCACTGAGTACTGAAATACAACCTATTATCGCTACAGTCTTAACCGTAACTGCCTATGGATAGCTTTGTCAAAACAGATCTACTGCAACTGAACCAAGTCCTGAATATAAATATGATCTCCTTTATGCAATCAATGGCATTATTTCAGCCCTAGAACCCTCACAGGTTGTAATGTTTCTCTAACCAGGCTATTGTAGGTTTCTGGCTGAAATTCTGTATTAAATTAAATCTGTCTCACCTGAGTGGCTTGTGTGTTTTTAAACTGAGTTAGAGTTAATTTGCAGGGCTAAGTAACAAAAGGAGACACTCACAACCTTAATGCCTGCACGAATGTTGCCTAATATTTATAAATTTAGATTTGTGGAGAACAGATGCATCAACCTTACTATTGGGAATATCACATCCAGCTTCTGAGGATATTTTGGGGGGAATACAAATTAAAAGTAATATTTTATGTCAAAATGAAATTAATTCTTAGTTTGAAACAGTAGCTGGTAAAGACTTCCAGGTACCTTAGGGAAAAGAATTCATTGCATCAACAAAGCATACATTTGCCACTGATTCTAGCTCTGTAGCAAATAGCTTAGATTGTGTGGTTTTATATTTTTAAACTGTCAAATATGTTGTTACTCACATAGCATAGGATTTAAACCTATAAATTAGATTGTATATACATAAGAGCAACCAACAATGTGGTAAGTTGCCACTAGGCGTGGGGTGAGGTTCACTCTGCATAACTTTAAGGCACTGTAACTGAGGCAAATCTCTTTCCTCTCTGCTTATAATAGAGAAGCTGCTCTCAAAGATTTGATTCATGTTACATTCCTATTCTTAACTGCTCTCTGGATCCTCTATGGAGGGAAGGTTTCTAACTTTTGTCTAAAACAAGGTGCTGTACCTTGTTTTACAAGCAATAATGCCACTTTGGTGGTGTTGCTTATTGCTTAAAAATGAAGTAGCCTAGAACTGGAATGGAGAATTGGATTTCTGATTTTGGAGTGGGCCTGATTTAAAAACCTCTGCTTGTTTATGGAAGAAATGGAAATCTCTATATGAAGTTGAACAAAACATAAGCCAGAAAGATGTTTGTTTCTTCTTGGCTTGGCTGGCTTTAACCAGGCCCAGCTCCCTTAATCGTCGCAGCCACTCAAAGCCTTGCTCTGGTGTAGCAAGGTAATGGTTCAGAACAAAGGTGGGATTGGTGCTATTTGTGGTAGTGTTAACTCAAGTATACTCGTTTTTAAAAGGAGGTGCTTGGCTTCTGCCAGTTGAAGGATAGTTTTATGTGTATGTTCATTTACTGCACCTGGAAAATGGGGATAGTCACTTTCTCAGCCCACTGAGGAAGCTAATTGAAAAAGGATCATCCTTGGGCAGCCTCAGGATTCTTCAAAAAGTGATTAACAACCATGGAAAAATTCAGAATGACTGCTTTTAGTCAGAGACATTATGTAGTTATGGGTGATCGGCTATCCCTTTTATCTGCATGTTGAGAGGGATCTTTGTCTCCAAAATTAAACACCCTGTGATCAGGCACAGAATAATAAGTCTTTTCACTGAATGTACCTGGTTGCTGGTATTGAAGGGCTTATCGTTGGCAAAAGTTGTATTTTCTTTAATGTTAATGATAGTGAATTATGTTTCCTTTTTCTTAGCTTGCAGTGCTTAGTAATGAGCCTGTATATTTTTTAAACTTTTCTGGAAAAACGCTCTCTGCAGCAAAGTTTATTTTGTGTTATTTGATAACCTGTCTTGGGAGTTTCTAACTACTATTGCAGTTGATTGTTGAATTGGGGGAAGTAGTGAATAAACTGTACTGTTGTCAGGGCAACGACCTACTCTTACTGTAAAAGACATTCTTGTGTCCGTTAGAATTATTATCCCTGATATACGCAGTGCAAAGTGCCCTTTGTGCCATTTCATTTCTGCTCAGTTGCTAGATGTAAACGGTTTTGTGTAATCAAACTTTCCTGAGGAGGCAGCTTTTTTATTTTTGTTTAAAACGCCTCTACCATTTGGGGTTTCTGCTATGTAATCACTTTCTTGGTTTATCCTGGTCATTGGAGTAACTCATCCCAGTATTTATTTCAATAACGTACCTCGTGGAAGATGTCTCTGTTAATTTGAGAGTAGATACGTTGAAAGCCGCAGGCCACTTAAAGCACAAATACATAAGAAGGGAAGAGTCTCCTTTGAAAAAGGCAGCTGGACTAGCAAGAAACTGTACAGCTCTGTCTTACTACTCTACCTTTAAGTTTGTTGATGTTGGCATTCAAAGCATATCCTGAAGGTATTTCTCAAAAAGCCCAGGAGGAGAATGTTGTTGCTCTTCTCCTTGGTAGAATGAACTGAGACCTCTCAGGTTTTTCATGTGTTCAAGAGTTGGAAGAGGTTGGGATCTTTTCCTTTTGTTTGTTAGACAAGTAGAATATCATTAAGTGCTAAGCATCAGCAATGATGATGCTCCTTAGCCAAGGTAGACTTTGTATTTGGTGCTAGAAGATGAGAGAATGTATCATCATCTGTATTCTCCAATGTTGACCCTGGTACAAGCTCCTGGTGTGAAGCCATTTTAGGAAAATCACTTTCTTAAAGTAGCGTGAGAGATCTTTGTGGCTGTAGCGTCCATTTAGTTGTGTAAGATCTGATCTCTATCGCCCTGCGTCCTCCAATATAAGCAGTAGTTTTTTTCCTGGCCTTCACAGGGGATGCATTGCCATGGAATAGTGATCTGGGTTGTAAGTGGAAATGCCTGTGGGGAGGAAGGGAGGTTCTGGGTTTTAATGCCATTCCCTTTGAGCCTGAGCTGTTGCCCTTACTATCTTCCAACCGTTGGCAACAACTCCTACTTTAATCAAGTGACCTCTTATGTTTCTTGGGGTTTAGCTTTTGCAGTGAGCATACCTAGAGAAATGCAAATACTCTTTGACCTCCATTTCATTTTCTCCTACCTCAAGCTGGTTTGTGATTATGTGCTTGCTTGGATGTAAATGAGTGCTGTCGTCTGTCTTTGAGTCACCAACCATTGAATGGGACATCTCTACTTCTTCAAAGGTTATAATGAACACTGCAGCATTTCAGGATCTCCCTGAGGAGATGGCTTGTTGTCTTACACACCTCTCGGTGAACTCTGGCTGTTCATGTATCCGGTAGCAACCGGAGTGATCCTTGTTAGCCAGCCATTGACACAAACGGCCATTTCTGCACAGAGCCCTCAAACAGGACAGTATGCTGCTCATGCCTGCTGAGACTACCTTGGCAGAGCTTCTTTTTGTAAGTACAGCGCAAGTTGTATCAGTGGCCTCACCAAGAAAGGTTTCTCCTAACAGCTGCAGTGTGGCCAATGAAGCTTTGTATGTACTCTCTTCCTCTATACCATACCATGTTCTGGAAATGCCTAGAGCTAATCCAACTCTCAGTAAAGCAGTCTTGTAATTACTGTTTGTGTGAAAGACTTGCCTCTAGGTAAATATGTGAACATCACTGTGTGAACTCTTTACTCGGAGACGGAAAAAGTTCTTAGAAACGTGCAGTCTGTGTGTACGATTATTTCCCTTTCCCTCAGAAGCCTTCAAGAACATCTTAAGAATCCCACAGTTGGCACTGTATCTGTTCCCACTCATGAATGGAGCGTAAAGGAGGCCAGGCATAAGCCTGTGAACACTGCAGCGCTGAAAAAGTGCTTCCAGGTGAGTAAAATCTCTGTACGTTCATTATATAAATATATATGTGGACTACATATCTCTAATAATTCAATTTATTACTAAACCTCCTTTTATGACTTCCTGTTATTAGTTTACTTGTTTCTTCCAACTTCTATGTCAGTACGTCGAGCACAATACACATTCTATAGCAAAGGAGTCAGCCGTTTTCATATTTTGTTTAGTGCAAAAAGTGATAAAGTTCAGACTATAAAAATCTGGCTATTTTACAATAGCCTCAAAATTCTAAGAGCCATCTCTCTCACAATTCACCTTTACTTCCTAACTAGTTAATTAGCTGTCCTCTTCCTTTTTTCCTTCTCTTAGCCTCCTAACTTTTTCTTGTGGATAAACTTCGTAGTCTGCAATTGGCCAAAGATCCTATAATGAAAACATTTCATACGTTTATAGTGCACCTCACAGATAGATTTAAGTGACAAGACTACAAAGAAAGGCCGTGTGAAGATGAAAAACATAGCAAGTGATCCCTTTTCCACCTGAGAAACCCTTTTTCTCCACTTTCATATGCCTGTCCCTGCGTTCATACTTTTAAGCCCGTACGGGAGTTGGTATGCTTAATTTGACTTACTCTTATCAGGGAGGCTCATATGGAATGCATTCAGATGAACTTCAGCCAAAAACTTCCTTCCACTTGCGTTCTGCTGCGCTAGAGCTGTGGTGCTACATACTGATCCTCTTGCCTTTGCACTTTACCGGGGACTCTTGTTCCTGTTTCTTCTGTCTCTGTAGTGGACACACAGACTCAGAACTCATAACCTGTTATTCATTACAGAACCAGTACTTTAAAATCTACTTTTTAGTAGATCTACTTCTATAGCAAGCAGATATTTTCTTTATTTGTTTAACGCTTATAATTATTGGGCTTATTCATATTTCCCTGTAAATGTGTTACTTGGCATTTTTAATAGGCAATCCTCAGTTCTTGCAATCATGTTAGAAACATTACCTTTCTATTAATGAGTAGCACTGTCCCATATATAAATCTATTCCTTCCTCTGAACCCATCTCTAAAAAAAACCTTATTATTGAGATGCAGTTTCGGGGAAAAGCTTAATCTGCAAAGCTGATTTGAATTTGTCTAAAACAGAGTGGGAGGAATGAGATGGCATGAGAAATTAATTTGAAATAGGAGAGGTCAGGACCTGGTAAGTATCAAATCTGATATTTAATATTGTTAAGTGAGCTTGTAATTTGAGATGTGATAGTTATTCCTAACCTGATTAGCAGCTGATGTGTGTTCAGGCATGAGCTTTTACAGCTAGTGATACAAAGCCTCGTAATTGGAATATTTGTTAAACTTTGTATTCTCTGTCTCGTCCAAGTTTTTTTTTTTTATTGTTATACACAACTTGAATTCTGCATATTTATTTATCTTCCACAAACACAGAAAGGCTTAAATCTGGGGCATGGAAAATAGAGACGTCAACTTTTCTAAAAACGTTCATGTCAGTTGGTATATGCCTTCACCTGCATGGCTGATTTTGCTAATTATTAAATATCTAAATGCCTTTAACTACTATATTAATGGCTTCTTTTCCAGTTATTGTTAAAATGCTAACATTATAGTATAAAAACATGGCATTTCTGATTTTTTTTTTTTTTTAAACCTTTCTATATAAAATTGGTTTGATCTCTTAACATGTCTTTAGCACTGCATTGGGCCAGGCTTTGATTCACATACAAGAACTATATAGCTATCTGTTGCACATCTCTGTTCTATCTTAATCTCATCATTTTATGTTTCAGGTTTGTTATTATGTTCTTTGTAGTATTTACTCGATACGTTCATTTTTGTTCTTTCTCAACTATTATGTTTTTATTTTGTTACTAACACCATAGCACGTATGATACCATCAAACTCCTATTTTGATTCTGGACAAACAAAATAGGCTTAGTCTGCTTCTGAAACTTTCAGTCTTGGGTTTTCCTGCACCTTCATAAAGGTAATCCAAGTTTTTCAGCAATCTTGAAGTGCCAGAAAGTTTTTTTTTCTAAGAGGCTAAAACCTCTAACATACTTTGTATTGCCATGAAATATTTTTGTCCCATGTAGCTTGAGCTCCTTACCCCACTCCTAGCCAGCTGCTTTTAGTGTTTACTTTGCTTTGGCAGTATGCTCATTAGGCCTTTCTGTGAACTGATTTAACTCACTAACCTGGGGTAAATTGAGGAGGAATTAATTTTTGTCTGGGTTAATAAATTATTCCACTCATCAAGAGCCTGATGAATGCCAGAGCTGGCAGGTGGACAGAGGCAAGAACATATCCAGGAACAGGATTTGGGAGAGTAAGAATACCCATTTTAGGCTCCTGAGGCTGCCTCATGTAATTTGACTTAATTTTATAGGATCTCCTTCACTTTGTTAGGGAAAGCTAAAGAGCCTTCAATTTCCCTGAGCTTCCTTTCTTGCTTTCCAAATAGCGTTGGAACATAAGAGATATTTAAGTTATAATTAATTATTTATCCTGATAGCTATATACCTAAATCATATATATCCTGTTAAGCTTTTGATTAAAAATACAGGT